AAAAGACACAAGTGACCCCCCTTCCACTCCTGGAGTCGCCCCTCGGCTTACTGGTGAGGGGGTCGTGCCAGATCTGAGCTGCGCTTCTAGGTAACCGGTCTTTAATGTGAGATAAGACCATTCACGAACTCGAAACTGGAAACGGTGGGCCTCCGGTGCTTGCCGCTGTGAAATTGTGCGAGAATCCTACAAGCTGCCGATCCTGTGAAGCTTGGCGCACATGGGGCTCGGAATAGGATCCAGGCAAGCGTCGCATGTCGGTTCTCTACGCTGTATTGCTCTGCCGACTCTGCCTATGCCGTTACCAGTTCTGCAGCAGCTTTTTGGAGCACAGGTGGCTATCATCTGCTCCAGATGCCCATCTCGGCTCCTTGCAAGAGGTGATTTTTCCCTCTCGCATGCAAGAGGTGATTATCCAAGAGGCTTGGCAAGCTGAACTTTCAACATGCTGAACTATAAAAGTACTGCGAGTCCTGCTATGAGACTTCTATATAGTATTTGCCAGGACCTGATTAACAGCGGCACTGAGCGAGCAACCTCTCAGCAGCTCATTCCCACCTGGCACCCTGTAGAGGATGTCTACCAAGGTGGGAGTTGTAATGACAGCAGCATGACTAATAACATCAATGAAGAAGAAAACTGACAGTTGCAGCAGTAGCAGTAGCAGGTATGTAACAGTTATGTAACCGTCGCAGCAGCAAAAGTGGTGCAGGAAAAACCTGCATGTCAATGTGGCAGCAGCGAGCGTAGCAATACCCCGATTGATTTGCAGGATAGCCGAACATCACGCACACCAGGACCGAGACGCACATATTGATACAGTACATGGCAGCATTTAAATTGTCGTCGCCGCAGGCAAATATAAGACAGTATAATAAGACCAGCACCAGTGCCAGCAAGATGCGTCCGAGGCCCGCCAAAGCGTAGAGTCCCGCGCCTATGAGCCCCGAACCATGGGGCGCCGGGGGCAGTACCTGATGGATCCCAACAATGCTTCAACACTAGCTGGTGTGCACTCCTTCATACTCGCTCACTTCATGGGTAAATGGTGGCCGAGGGCAGGGTGAACAACGAGCTTTGGAGTCGAAGATGTTTCGAAACCATCCGTACACACTCGTGAAGTTGTAGGCTACCAGCAGTCGGAGTTCGAGTAGTGAGTGTTGACACCCCAGAGCCGACAACTCTCGACGCAACAAGCCTCAACATCACGGGCTCCAAACTAGCCCTGACGACCAATGATCTGTTAATCTAGAATCATGTCACATACAGCTTGTAGGAGGGCCTTTTTATGCACCAATTCGCATTTCGTTAAACGTATCGAGCTGTCTATCTCTCTTTACATAGGCAGCCGTAGCTGCGAAACCCTCAAACGCCCAACACGAGCGGCCGGGGGTCACCCGCACGGCTTGTGGTTTCGTTCCAGCCTGATCATGAACATTCGTTGGCAGCGTTCAGTCAATAGGTAATCTCAAGCGTCTTATCTGACAGTGCGACGACGACTATAGTCCACGAGTCCGGAAGGTGGGTCCGCAAGACAATTCTGCGCACCCCTGGCTTCATGGCAGACTTCGCAAATCACGCAGCACCGGAAGCCCGTAGAATGAAAGATTCCAAGTCATAGATGTACATCCCGTGAACGCCGCACCCGGGGTGTCTTTGCGCTAAATACCCGGGCACTCAGTCTCGAACCGCCCTCTTGGAGGTCCTGCCACGCCTAATTCCGGAACACGATTTGTGGTCTTGATTCCTTGCTGTTTAGAATTTGGGACATGCTCAAGGACTCTCTCTCTCCCACTATCCGTCACTATCCGCATCTTTGCAGGCCATAGGCCGTTCACATACACTTTTATGATGTGTACAGCTCTGGTACAGGAGCTGTGTGCAGAAGGTGAGCTGCGGGGCGGGTCTCACACGAATCCAGGCCATAAGTACTGTAGGTAATCGTGAACGGCATCTTCCCGATGCACAACACGCCTCGAACCCTGAACAATTACCAAGATAACTCCAGCATGCAGCTGAGCATTCAGCTTGGCATTTCCGGTAGGCACTTCTGTTGTACCTCATGCAGGCAATGCTACGCTGACATCTGCCAAAGCTAACACCGCGTACCAAAATTAGATAGGTCGACAGATAACTAGATAGATAGGTAGATAGTCAGATAGATAGATAGATAGATAGATAGATAGATAAATAGACAGACCGATCGATAGATAGATAAATAAATAGACAGACCGAACGATAGATAGATAAATAAATAGATGGATCGATAGATGGATCGAAGCTAGATAGATAGATAGATAGATAGATAGATAGATGAATAGATAGGTAAATAGAAGTTATAGGTAGATAGATAAAGGAAAGATATATAGATACATAGACATATATATATATATATATTCTTGATTTAGATATGACATCGACTTTCCACTTCAGATAGTAACACCACTCATCTCAGATGTCATCGTCCTTGGGCGCCCACTCAGCAAGCCCCAAGTGAGACTTTTTCTTTCAAGCGAGTGTGACTCGTTTTCACATGGAAGGGCTTCAGACGTCACACTTCGAAGCAGGATATCAACACCTGGCAAGCCGAGGCCGACACCCGGCAAAGGTAGAACCTGCAGGTGCAATTTGGGAACCCCTGCAGAGTTGAAGAGATGCTGATGAGAGTTCAGAAATCGGAGAGCTTGCTGACAGCTTCATGGCTACTGACTGGACCGCTGTCGCTTCTGCCCCACTACGTGCTCTGTTCAGTGTCTACCCGCCCGGGTGGAACGATTGACGGAATCCGTGCAAACAGCACAAATCTGAGCTGAGCCAGCTGCACAAGAGTCTGGGCCAACGATCACCTCGGGTGACCACTCGGGTTGAGCTCATGCTGATGCCGCCCTGATGTTTGCAGAGACTATGTAGATCCTGCCAGCAATCTTGAAGTTACAGTGAATCTACAAAAGAGCATTTCTCGTGGACCTTGCCTCAACACTTTGACCCAAGCCCTCCCCCGGTCAGACTCAGAAAGCAACGCCTCTTGCAATGATGGCCAATTCGTCTCTGCCACACGCCCGCCGAAGCAAATATGATCCGCCTTCGGCGGCGGGACTCGAATTAAACTGCGCGTCTTGGGGGGTCGCAGTGATCAGTCTTTCGGAAGATAGATCGCCTGTGACGGGGTATAGTGACAGGTGTTCTGGTGGATCGAGCAAGCCGGCTGAACTTGAATTGAATAACGGTCAGACACTCTAGGGTTCTTGGCTGTTGAGGCTCCAAGTTAACAGGATCTGCGAGATCCAAGGCCTACAGCGTGCACACATGGGCTGCAGCTCTGAACGAGGATCTGCATCGTCCAACAGCTCCAAACAAGTGTTGCTGCATGCAAGAAGCACAGCAACTCCGGACAGCTTCGATAATAACAGTCAGAAACATGGCCGGAAACCAGGAGCCAAAGAATAGAGACGAAGATTTTGGAATATTTTGACAGCATGAAGAGTCCTAGAGCTGCAGCTATTGTACTTATGGTGCTCGTAGAGCAGCCACCATAAAGCAGACAAAGCCCCAAGCTCGATGTCTTCGCGATCCAGTGCAGCATTGCGGGAGAAACCTGAACAATACATGGCTCGGACTCTTGGGGAAAAGGAAGGTCGCCATCCTGCCGACACACTGAGGGTTGAAACTGTCGTGCAAACCCAACTCCGGCTCAAGCTTGTGTGCGGGTTTGCTGAACCTTGCCTAAAGTGAGGCCTGAGCTCTATGATGGCATACCTATAACATCCCGCACCACGCAGAAAGCAACACGTACATTTCGAATTAATTCGGCAATTAGTTCCTTCGACCCATGTCCAGTGAGTAAGAAAGAAACCTCAACATAGCAACAATAAGAGTATTATGATAAGGAATGTTACCAGCTGTAACAACAAAACTAAGACTTGCGTCAGAGCCAAGCTCTGGTGTATCCACGGCCCAGGCTGTTACGTCTGAGATGCCAACTGAGTGTTCAGGAAGTGCAGCCACCTCGACATTGACAGAAACATCCGGAATCAACAGGCACGTGAACACTTTGTTATTTTAGTCTGTGAAGAGCAGAGCGATTTTGGTACATCTGCTACTGTACCTGGTTTCGCTGAACGGATTATGCGTATTTCCGGATAGTACCACGCTGATGCCATGTATCCGTGCTGACACACAGAGAGCTCCAGTTTACTTCATTGGGACGCAGCCTCAATTTTATTCACTGAGAAGCCCTTTCCACAAACTACATGCAGCCGGAGGACTGGTTCGCATAGGCAGTGCTAGCCGGCTTGCGCCTGCGAGGCACCCAGTGGAAGGCAACCGCTACACTGGGAGCACCCTCTGCAATGGGCATGCTTAAGCTGGCAGTGAAAGCAATGCACAGCACTGCGTGCCAAACTCCAAAACCACATGCCATTATTTTCACTCTACATACACACACAACAAGACCCGATTCACCAAGTCCACCCGCGAAACATCCAAGACTGGATTGGGCCCAAACTCAGCATCGTTGGCCGGCGCGACCTGTCGGCCTGTGACGTCCGTTTCAGACTCCCCTACGGCGCTTTAGTTTTTGTAACACCCCTAACAACAGCACCGATTGGGTATACCTCGTCAGCCGATTGGGAATGCCTTGCTCAGGGTGACTGACCTGCTGCTGCACCCTGAGATTGCGCCTTCGTCAGCCTCCTCTTCACATGGTTGAGGAGGCTGGCAGCCTGTCGTTCAGCGCTGGATGCTTCAAGTATCGGGGTGTATCTTGCTTAGTAAGACCACATACAGATCCAGGACTGGGTGCAAAAGAGATACGCGGTTCTTGCTTCGAAGTGCCTGCAGGGAATACGCGGCTCAATGTTCATGCAGCGAGAGACACGACCCGCAGGACATTGCGAACAAGTCTCAACCCGAACCAAAAGATCCTGCGAAGCCCAAGGCTGAGACCCGCCAAGACTTGTCAGGTGTGCCGAAGGCTGCTTCTGCTAGCTCCATGCCCCGTCGGCCCAACACCAGGCTCACCTGTTACAGTGTAATGGTTTAGGGGTTCAGGGGTTCTGCCATCTGCTATGTATCAACTCTCGCACTCGGAGAATCCGCATAAGGCTGCATGAGTCGGACAACCGGATCAAAGAGCCAGTCACCCGAGATTCCACTAACCTCTGCTACCGCCAACGCACCTTCATTCGCTTACCTCTACACCTTCTTGTTAGGCATGGGATTTAACACAACTGCACTTTACAGTACCCTGGGTTACACTTTGAGATCACCCCAAGCCCAGACTTCGACTTCAGAAAAGTATCCTCTGAGTGCGGGAGAGAAGCTATTCGTGTGGAACTGAAACAGCAAAGGGCCGTGGATTCTGTGCAACTCAACATATTTTCCTTCGATTCACCTTCACGGCACATCTCTCAGATCATAATGCCAACATGGTTCCTGTTCGTCGTGGCCCTGCACCTTCACCCTTGAAGGCCTGAATCCAAAGCCTTGCAGGCCGTCGTCTTCCTCACCACGATGCTTATGTTAAGTTAGATTATCTTGATCATTGCTTTCATGTGCTTTCTAATTCTTGTGACGCAGGGTGACGGCAATATAAGACAAGCCTTGAAGCCCAGAAGACATTCTGAGATGGGTTCCCGGCCCAGGGCATGTTCCATGGCCGCCCCATGCCGGCAAACTCACGGACCATGACCTGAAAAATGCTCCAACTTCCACTGAAAGCTTCGAAGTCCCACGTGGTGCCTTAACTTCGGCCGCTCGGCGGCCAGCTCTGGGCGCAGCACGCCACCGCTTGACCGAGCAGCGGGCATCATCTGAGGCTTGGGCCTTCTCGACATCGTCAACGTGATCTGTTTGTTCCACCCAGCTTCGCCAAATGCCCCGATACCTTCCCAAGACATGCGAACCACCTTGAGTAGCACTAGTAGGAAGGCTCCGAGAACCGCTACTGTAGCTGCTAGCTGCTGCTAGCTTCCCTACATGCACTGCACATGTATCGTCACGGTGCAATCATGCAGCTGCCAGTCGCTCATGATGTTGCAATGCATGGCCGCAAGCCACACACACACACACACTGGGGCCCCCGCGGTGCACCTGAGAGCGGGACACCATTCAGCAAGTGACTTCGCGATCCTGGTGCACACGCGCTTTATGGAGAATGATGGAGAATCAAGATGTGCGGTGCAGTTGGAGTTGCGGAAAAGCACAGTATGTGGGATCTCTTAACCCTGGCAACATCTGAGAAACACCCTGCAATGCTCCAGCTGCTCACAGAGCAGCACAACTGGCACCGTCATTCTCGCTGGCCAGCTGCATCGCCTCTCAATACCTGTGTTCAACCTTGAACTCGGAGCACTACCAGCCTTGCACAAAGGAAGAAACACAGACTAGTGCTTGACGAGCGTTGAGGTTTCAACTACAGGAACCTGCAAACTTTTAAGTTGTTTCACGGCCTGCCAAAATTCTGTTTTGCACGTCATATTGGATTGCAAGGGCTTGTGTCAATCAAAGTTCTGATTGACTCTGCCATGGTGTTATTCGTCTTGCTGCTGCTGTGGCTAATCGATTCCCGTCCTGCCGGGGAGAACGGATCCAGAATTGCGCCATCCTCGCAAATCCGTGTTGCATGGAAGGAGGCCTACAGGTACTTTATATATACATGGAGCAGCATCCTGCAATTCTGTCTTCTCCTTTGTGCTTCCACGCTCTTCTCTTCCTCACCCTAACTCCAGAGAGCAAGGCAAAATACTGCAAGACTGCGAGCAGCATGAGACCAAATCAGTTCGAAAGCCTGGTGTGTCGAGCAGCTTTACGAAGTTGCAAGCACCGCAGCACGAATGCATCTGCCTCGTCGGAGATGCCGAAACCAACACCGGTTCCAACCTTGGTGAAGTCTACGTCTGAGCGTCTGAGTCCTCTCCTGGTTTGGATCTTCGTTTAGTATAGCACAGCACATTTCATCTTAAATCTTAAAGGCTTTGCAGGTCCTCAAGGCGGGAAGCATGTGTTCGAATCTCTCGGGAGTCCAGCGCCATGCGCAGTTGATCTGTGAGGATGCACACGCTGTACCCGCCTCCACATTGAAATTCGACAGCTCAAGCGATTCAACAAAGAACCCCCGGTAGCACTCGTTCTAAAATTGTAAGACGCTACAAACATGATAGCTGCTATCTGAAATTGCATTTAACTACAGCATGTGTATAAACATGTATACGACAATATGAAAGCAATGCACAACATATGAACAAGATGCAAACGAGCGTGCAAGAGTAGGCTTGCAGCACATGTTCCGACTTGGCTTGGTTCCTACGCACCGACTGACCTTCTGAGAATATGCAATGTTGAGGAAGACGTTGAACTCGTCTGACATGTTCCCCAATCCCACCTACAATCGGGCAGCCGGCAGAAAGGCAAGCCAGCCGAGGTATGGGTACAATCTGCCGGCTGCAGCCCAGCCTGGGCCAGCATGCAAGCCATAACGGCACCCCTGTCTGCAACATAAATCACGACTCTGAAAAACCCCTAGCTGAGTCTGTGAGCAAAGCGGCAAGTGGGCTGCGCCGTCGTGCAGAATGAACGTCCGGTCTCCTTCGTTTCAGATACTGGGCACGCGTAGCACGAATATATGGATGCAGTCGAGCCGAGTACCAACTTTGATTGATATTCGGCTGACAGGTTGGGGGAAGGATACGGAAACATGCCTCCAGTTGGAAGAAGCAGATGCTCGGATGGATCTTAAACAAAGCCTCTGTGCTTAATCTGGCCACGGCAACAATGTAGATTCCCTTTTGCTGGGCTTCCGGCTGGGAAGACCCATAAGATCCGCCACATGGGGATCAGGCCTGCCATCGATATCAGGCTTGTAGGTTTCTCGCTTGCAGGCTCTCGTCGACGTCTGCCCCCTTCGCGATAGACTCTACTCTACTGTATTGTCTCGGGTTCTGAAGGATTGCTTTGTGGGGTTCACAGTCCTTTAGGATGTTTGGGCTTTGCAACCACGCCGCTGGGCCTTTCATGAACTGCTTAAGTCCCTTGAGAGTCCCAGCATCAAGAACCCGTCCATGCTGAAACCTTACAGCCTTGCAGAAAAGCCATGTCGGGAAAAGAACCTGACTTTGAGAGTGTCCGCCCACACTTCAAGCAGCCTCGAGTCGCCCCACTGCTGTGGATGGCCCCCAGCAGACCACCAGTCCTATAGTGAGGCAAAGCTGGGTTGGTGTCTGAAAGGCTGCCCTTGATGGCTACGTGTCTCTGGCGCCGCATCGCAGGAGCTACAGCGTTTCGGCGAGGGGCAAAGTGGCACTTGTAAGAGCAAAGCCCGAAACCCGAAGCCCTTCCAGAAGACTGCCTCTTGCGCAGTAACAAGGCTTCTGCCAACCATTACGGAAACATTAGTGTCAGGGTTGGGAGAGTGAGTCTCCGGCAGACCAGAGATCCTAGGCTGCAAAGAATTGAGTCGGGGAACCAGAGGGGCTAGACTTTCACGAGTTTCTAGGCCCCCACGTGGAGTATGCCGGTGCGGTGTTCCACATCCCCAGCGGTGGAGACGCCAAAGACGACGTTTGCATTCGCCTACAAAGGGGCCAGGAGCTCGGCTAAGACAATTCGTGTGTATGCGACCTGCTATAGTGCAACTCGAACCTCGGCCTCACGTGGCTGCATAACGGTTGAAACTCTCAATACCGGGAACCCATCGGAGACCCGCCTTCTCCTGCCTAAGTCGCGGAAGCGCTTCCTGACGCATAGCTGTCACGCAGGGTCAATGCTGGACAGTCGAGACGAATGTAATCTGGACCGGTGTTTTGAGCTCGTGGCCCGAAGAAGGGAGAAGAAAGATCAATGTGCCAAGCAAGCTTGCTGTTCCGCCCTCTGCGCAAGTCTTTTTCAGATCTTCTTCGAACTTCATGTGCCCGATCAGACACCGAAACGTGCCGAAGGCACCTCCAACCAGGCATCAAAGCCATCCTCTCCTGGTGCCTAGCAGGGGACGGCTGAACCCGTGTTTCTTCTTTCAGGACAAGAACTGCGTGAAGGCTTCGGGTCTTTGCGGTTTGGATCGGGTCTAGGAAAGGGCGTTTGCGTCAGCCAAGATCAAAGCTGAAGTGCCTCAGCCCTCGACAAAACAATTTATGAGACGAGGCAATATTGAAAGGCTCTGTCCTTCCTCTATTACTATGGTCCAATTCTGTTCTAAATCTAGCCGTTCATTTCAGAACCATGCAAATCCTATGCAAACGACCGCCAAGGCGAGCTCTGCGATCCTGTCCGAGCTGTGTGGGCCGCTCCACCCACTCGAGCTCTGCACACTGCACGGGGCCCTGGCGTCTGGCTGCGACGTGTTAGAAGAAGGGTTTCTGTCTGGAGCTCTCTACATGTCTGAAGTGCTTGTTGATTGTAGCGGGCAGAAAGATCATCAAAGGACAACGAGCATATCCCCCCTCAAACAACGCAGACACGGGCACAGGCACAGGGATGCTCACAAGAGCACAGCGCCTGCTCTGCAGCTTCATCCGGCCCGTCGGTGTGAGGGCCTGAACATGTGTCCCATAAGTGATGCGTGTGTGTAGATAAATATTTGCGCATATCACATCACATATTTTTGCATGAGGCCAAACTGGGTCGAATTCTACAGCATCTGCCAAACCAATGTCCTGTAGTCCTGTGCTCTGGAGCTTTGCTCTTCGCAGCTCCCCCACGGCTTTCGATGGGTTTCTGAATATGTCCTGAAGGAACCCAAATGAATGCAACCCAAGGCCAACAAAGCTAAAAGGATCCCCAGGCTCCTGCATGCCTGCAGCAGAGCTCTCGAAGAAAGCTTGCAAAGCTGTCGCGCTGAAAAGGCCCTTGGGCGTGTCCGACTGGAGGTTTCGGGGTACTGTAACTTCGCCCTGAAACAAACCCCGTCGATATGTGCACTCACAACTACATGCATATTCTCTAGCTCGAAATGCCAACTTGGATACGCACTTTCAAGTCTCCAAGATTCTCCAAGTACCCCTGTGTATCCTTGTAGAGATCGTTTTCCAAAGTCTGCTGCGCTTGCGGGTTCAGCTTTCCCCGGTAGCTGGACCGGACGGGGTATGCTGAGCCTCTCATGCAACGAGTGCGGTACCCTAAATGAGCCTGTCGGCCCTTGCTCGGCATCTGCAATGAACATCTGACAGAGATGATCGACGGCAGCCTGAAACGCAAGTGGCCTCTTGAATTTCCTGAGGCCGACGCCGTCTTCACGCCTGTGCCGCCCACGTCAAAGGTGCGAATCAAGCGCTGCTTCTCTCGGAGCTGCCTCCTGAGCCATGACCCGGCTGCATGAGTCTCCCTGCGTTCTGCTCCCCCCTTCGCAGCCCCAACTTCAAGGCATCGCATACAATTTATTGAAGGCCGAAACCGCTCGGAAAGCACTCAAATGATATAAGAACATGCTCCAACATGTCTTGGGCCCGGGGCTGCACGGCTGAAGCGAAATCTTGTAGGCCGGCCTCTGAACTCTGAATGTTGAGGAATGAGGTTGCGAAGCCGTGAAGCAGAAAAAGCAATCGTGTAGGACTAATCCACCAGCGTGAGATGTCTGGCAACTTGCAGCACAGGGGTCGCACACTCTAAGGCCAGCGGTGGAGAGTGCGCAGCATGTATGTCGGTCCGTCCAAGTAACAAAAGCACGAAAGCTGCTATGGGCTGCGGTTAGGCGATTTACCTCGTCAGCTGAGTCACCTGAAAGATCCCAGTTCTGAGTCACCTTTAAGGGGCCGTGGAAAAGCAGAACCCGCTAAGGAGCAATGGATGCACCAGCCTCTGACACGCTTGCGTCGGCTTTGGACCTGGAGCTGGAGACTTTGCATTGTAGATTCGGAGATTTAGAAATCAAAGACGCGCACATGCTGGAAGCAAGCACATGATGCTCAGGCAGCCACGCTCGTTTGCCCATGGCTAACCTCCGAGAATGTGTCGGCTCAAAAATCCGAAGCCTTCCGGCCCATCACCCTCGCTTGTTTGAGCTAATGTTGCCACCAACTGCCGTCCTCCCCACATGACACTTCGCAGATCTTCGTGCCCTAAACTGACCCTAGAGTCCTAGAGTTCCTAGAGTTTGGCAAAGGACGAATTGGGAGACAGTATGATGCTGGCTGTCCGAATTGGGCCGAGATGCTTTGTTGGAAACTGTCATCCCGTCAGAAATTGGGGCAAAAGATGTGCTGATATCAGATCTGCGAACTACCTGTTCGCTGTACCATTCGGCGCACAGACACACACACACACACAAACACACACAAACACACACACACACACGCACACGCACACGCACACGCACACGCACACGCACACGCACACGCACACGCACGCACACACGCACCCGCGCACCCGCACCCGCACCCGCACCCGCACACGCACACCCACACACACACACACACACAAGCAATCCACAGCCACAATGGCCTTCGGCTGGCGATGCCGGATGTGCGATGCACAAGTCGACGGCAACTCAGGCCATGCCGCATTCAAGACATGATCGGGGAGGTTTTCGTCAGCGAAAATCGTGGCACTTGCTGATGCAGAAAGTATAGGCTTTTGCCAGCTGTGAGTGCTAGAATGCCACGCTCTCATATCGTGTCTAAGTACGCTGCTGGGCGAAGACAGCACTCGGACTGAGTTGGCTTGCCACCAGCAAGAAGCCCTCGGGAAGCGTCTGATCTTCGAGCAAGCATATACGGTAGTGTGTACAAAAGCAGCTGTTGAAACATTACCACCTTCATTGATGGTGCTCCTGTTGCTCTTACGATCCTGCAAAGAATCCAGCGGTTACGACCACGACTTGCCTGACTTCGGAGCCTGGTGATGTTGGCGGTTAAGACACTGTTAAATTCTGATGAATGTCCCGGTCTTTCAATTTCTCCCATACCATACACACCAGCACCACCACGACTAGCATTAATTAATTGACTAGCATGATCGCAGCATTACTCGGAGGCTGCCCTTGTCCTCCTCACGCTCCGATAACGCTCTGAGAGTAGCGACAGCTCTGACTGGCTTCAGTTTTTTGCAGCAAGCCCACTCGGACACCAAAGACCGCCACGAAATCATCTTGGATGGCTACACGCCAATCTTCCGTTTGCGAGCCCCAGGCTGCCAGCAGCCAAGAACCTCTCCAAACTCGTTGTTGCTGTGGTCGGGCCATAGCTTGACTTCCGAATGCAGACGGTCACCCCTCGTGTCTGCAAGCTGTAAGTCTGTAAGCGTCAAGACATGTTGAACAAACGAAACCGAATCCACACACGGGCCATGGCATGCCTGCACGCAGTCGCGACTTCTGTTCACATTCTCTTTAGAAATCTGCGTTCCTAAGCCCTGAGCCAAAGACCTCGGATATCACTCTGCTATGGAGTGTTTGGGGAGATCAACCGCGATTAGCCATCCAGGGCTTACATTCCCCAATGTCCTTTAGTTACGGCCGCACTACAGGGCACAGGCTCATCTTACAATGCTCGGCATCAAAAGCTGGGAAGGCCAAGCTGAAATTCAGCAGATTGAACCCCGACTCCACTGGAAATCTGTTGATCTGCTTCTTTCCGATTCGAAACATTGCCGTAGCTCGCGACGGCATGCCAAGTCGACATCCTGCAAAACTTGCTGTAAGTTCTCGACATTGCATATCTTAAATCTAGTCATTGCATGCCTGTACCGTATAAGCAAAGAAGATTTAAAGACACACGAGCGCACACGTGCGGACATACATGTGTACATATCTATGAATGTATATATATATATATATATTATATATATATATACACACATACATACATATGTATATATACATATGTATGTACACTTGAAGTTTAGGATCATGCAGATGCATAGGATTGCATAGGCCTACATACATGCGATGTCATGCACCTTGGGGTCTTGGTAACCTCGAAAGCTCTCGAGATGCACCTCAGCCGCGTCACACGACTACCACCCGTGGACCTCCCAAAAGCCTCGTCATCGACTTGAGAGCAATCCACAGAGAGGCCACGGTTGACCCGCACAATACCTAGCAAAGACTGCAATGTCCCCAATGTGACGCAATGACACTGGCGGCGTCAATGGCGTCTGCAACTGCGTGTTTGTAGATGAATAGGTTATAATGGGTTCATCAAGTCATATACACAACCTACGATACATGCATGTAAAATTACCTACATACAGGCAATGCTTCTGCATCTTCTGAGGCTGAGCCTCGGGCTCCCTTTGCAGCGGAGTTCTACAGTATGAATCCCAGTCCTCCAGTAGTCTGCGCCCCACAGGCGCTCGGACCACCGTCGGTGGACAGGCTCCGAAAGCCTGGGAGAGGGCAAGCTCGCAGCCAAGGCTGAAGGCACCCAGCGAGTCAGATGCTAGAAACTGAAAAGAACCCGAAATCCTTCATGCACAGTTTACCATCTGCCATGAAGCACAGACGAAGGTATATCAAGACACATAAGCGCAGCAAGCCCTAAGACGCAACAGGAAGTGTGCCTAAGCCTACGCCGGCCTCCCGCAGTGAACGACGCATCACTAAAAGCCGGGATTCCCGGCGGCGCAAGGTGCCGCGGCTTCCCCACCACCGGGGCACGGCTCCAGGGCGCACCTCGTCCAAAAGCTTTTCAGGGTTGGATTCCAAGATAGAGCATGTCACATCGTTTTCGCATACACCTGAAGATACCAAAACCTCGCTTTTGGTAGGGCCCCAAAAATTAATATATACACAGGTTCACTTTCCTATAAATGAAGAGGTGCTGTGTAAAACTGATGGGACCGGTGATCGGCTTACATACCGAGAGCCACCTAGATGCTGCCCACTGGCCCCAAACTATCGAAGCTCTCCACGCTGCCCGCATCGTAGGTACTAGCGCAACATGATCTCTGAAGTCAGGAGCCCAAGCTGAAAGCTGAGAGCGGCACACCCGTTGAGCCAAGCACAAAGCCCATGGCCAGGGAGTCCATGACCTGTTCCTGCTCCTGCCGCACTGTCGAGGCATCAGGATGTAGGCAGAGATAGTGTGGGCCTGATCAGGATTGTGCCCTTTTCGAACCGCTGCATACAATCATACGAGCGCTTCTCGGGGCTTCTCTTCGGGTCTGGAGTTTGAGTTTGCTTGCCCTGTTGCCGCCTGCATGCTACTGACCCAGGCTCCCATCGGCCCCCGCTTGCCATGCCGGGGCGGATCTAGAGCACTGCTGTATGTCCACATCAAATTTTGAGTACTGTAAATGTGTGCGTTTCTGTACGCGTAAGTCATTCGACGGGAGTGCTTTGCGAAAGCATCCTGCTTCGACCTCCTCTTCCTGCAGCCATCGAACCCCATTTTGCCACACGCCCTCAGAGCTGCTCTCCGGAATCCACTCTGCGAGAGCATGGCGAGGTTCTTACTACGGCTAAGGCTAAGGCTAAGGTTGATGCGACGACACCTTCACTTTCCAACCCACGGTCCTGGAGCGATCTTTGCACTCGTCGGACCACATGTTGACAGGGCCTGGGTGCCGTGTTGCTTCCCCCCAGGCGTGATAGCTTGCGCAGCTTCGGCTTTAGCTTTATGGTGTCTTCCGCACGGACCTTTCCTCCAAATGCTCACTCCAATCCATCACTGAGCCCCCTCAGTACATGAACTTATCACCTGAGGCCAAAGCCAAAAGACTCCATCGCAGCCAAGTAGGTCCTGAGCAGGGGGTGCTTAGCGGCACGGCGAGTCTCCGGCCGGCACTCAGTGTACGAACAGCTGGCTGCTTGACGGCAGCTGGCAACCCCCACATTCAAACCAGTAACTTTCACAGATCCCTTCATAGATCTGGATTCCTGTTCTACCGGCTAGGTCCTCTCAGCACAGGTCTGCTGAGTCTCTCGATTTCCAGAATGCCCCAGAAACACAGGCCGCCGGGACACAGCCGCGATGCTCGCACGCCCTGAAGGTGCAGCTTCTCAGCCAAGGCCAGGGCCTGGGATGCTGGAGAGCTTGGCAAGTCTGCCATACTGTAGCGGTTGCTCGCCCTAGCATATCTCATGATATTACTCACACATAAATTAGCACCCATACCTACCTACCTACCTACCTACCTACCTATCTATCTATCTACCTGCCTGCCTGCCTGCCTACCTACCTACCTACCTACCCACCTACCTACCTACCTACCCACCTACCTACCTACCCACATTCATGCACACGCACATGCTCATGCACACATACACACATCCGCATACATGCATATGCATACGTATATGCATGCATGCATACATACACACATACACATACACACATACACACATACACACATACACATACACATACACATACACATACATACATACATACATACATACATACATACATACATACATACAGGCGGACATACATGCATACAAACAAGCAAGCAAACACACACGCACACACATGCATATGCATAAATACATATACACATATATATACACATGCATAAACATATATATAGAGAGAGAGAGAGAGTGCGTCGGCGTGAGGGCCCGCTTTTCTCGAGTAAACATGCGTTTTTATGCTTATTTTACAGTGATTTTACTGGCATCATCTTGTAACTGCATTTAGTTTATACCATTATATAATACATATACACACATGTATATAAATAAATGTATATGTATATATATATATATGTATAGGATCATGCAGTCTCTATAATGAGAGATGCGTACACCAAAGCTGACTGCCCAACGTCTGGAGGCTGAGGGTCGTACCTGGCAAGGACAGGACTTTTAATAATAATAACAATAATAATAATAACAATAATAATAACAATAGTAATAACAATATTATTAACAATTGTTCCTTTCTGGAGGGTGGGACGCTCTCGGGCCCCCATATTTACAGCATGTTCGCATGTTTTTGGAACGAAAATCGCTTTTGAAACAGAAGGGTGGTATAAGACTTGTAAATGCACTGCACTCAGTTCAAGATCAATTCTTATGTCAAAGGTTTCCGTCATTCCATATACCAGACCTTTTTCCTTGGAAGCATGTTTGCAGTAATCGTTCGAACTCGAAAGTATTAACTATGTTGATAACAAAGAAAGATGATAAGGGAACCAATGTACTCGTGCCACAAAGGATAGAAATATCACCGCACTGAGTCCAGAAGATGCGGTGTCA